CTGCCCCGCAGCCCCCCCCCCGGGCATATGAGCACCCCCATTACCCCGCTTCAGGCTCCGGATGACAAACTTCTGCACAGCGCCTACTGCAAGGGAGACGGACAGGTGTGAGCACCAGGGGGGCCAGTAGCATCACTGCCCATCACCAAAATTGCATGCACGAGGACCCCTTTCCCATGACCCCCTCATGCCAGGGGTGCCCTAACAGGGCTGCGGTGCCCACAGAAGGGGGGGACTGGTCCCAGATTGGGTCCCTCTCCACCCTCTCCCCCAGCCTGGTACCTCTGTCCCCGTTGGGGTGCCCCAGGGACTTGGTGCATGCCCGGTGGTCGGAGGCTGGGGGCTGCTGGCTGGGGGGGGCCCAGCTCTGGCTGGTGGCACGGCCCCCCTTGAAGAAGAGATTGACGAGGGTCTTGGAGCGGTGCAGCCCCGGGTGGGCACCCTGTGCCCCTTGTCCCTCCGGCTTTTCCTTCTTCCGCTTCTCCTCTGGGGACAGAGGCGGTGGGGTTTGGCATGAAGGGGCCAGGGGATGCCACACCAAATGGTGTTTGGGAGGCTGGGAAGGGGCCTGGGCTGGGAATGTGGGAGGCTACTAGGGGCACTGACTGAGAGAGAGACCTGCTGTGGGGTGCAGGGGATCTCCAGGGGCCATAGGGCTGGGCTTTGGGGTGCCCTGCAAGCCCTGGGGACAGGACTGGGGCTATGCAGGCCTATAGGATGCCCAGGCCTGGCGGCCAGGGGTCCATATGGGGCAGGGGCTATAGGGTGCCAGGGTAGGGGCCAGGGACTTGACTACAAGATGCCCAGGAGCGGGGGCGAGGTATCTGTGTGGGTCAGGGGCTATAGGATGCCTGAGTGGGGGACAGGCTCCACATGGGGCAGGGGTTGAGCTGTGGGACTCCCAGGGCTGGGGGTGCAGGGTTGGAGGGGGACCCCAGCCAGGGGTATGTAAGTCCCACGTATGGGGCCCTGCCCCAGTGCCTACCGGCGACAGTGAGGTCGCTCTGGGAGCGCGTGATGGGCTGCCGGGGCCGGCTCAGCGCCAGCAGCAGCGCTGTCTTGGGCGAGTGGGTGAAGGTCCGGCGCGGGTGGGTACCAGGGGGCTCGCGGGCGCCCTGGCCCCGGATGGCTGTGTCCCGCAGCAGCTCAGGGGGCCGCACCGTGCGCCGCATCCCCGCCAGCCCCTCGGCAGCTGGCTCGGTCTGCATGGCCCGCTCTGCACGCTCCCGCATCCAGCTCTGCCGCGGCCCATCCTCCGTGGAGATGGCCACGTCCACGGTGCAGGCGGGGGACCCCGGGGCGGCCATCCCCAGCCCGTTCACAGCCCCTGGCCCCGAGGAGTAGGAGGAGATGGAGGAGCTGGTCTCCGAGGCCTGAGACAGCTGCTGCAGCTGCCCGTTGGTCACTGCAAAGGCACGGTGGGGACACGGGGTGACACACTGTGGGGCCACGGGGAGCTCCGCATCCACCCTGAGGACAGGGGACATGTGGGGACCCATAGGGCCACAGGGACTGCAGGGCTGCTGGTAGTGACGTGGGGAGCTCTGTGTCTCCTACAAGGGTCAGGGGACATGTGGGGTCCCATAGGGTCATAGGGACCAGTGGGCTGCTGGCCATTGCATAGGGATCTTCATGTCCCATCCAAGGATGGGGGACAGGTGGGACCCTGTGAGACCATGGGGACTGTGGGGATGCTGACCGTGGCACAGGGAGCTTCACGCCCCCTCCAAGGCCATGGGACCCCATGGCATGTGGACCTTCTCCCTCCTCACCAGAGCCGGATACCCCTTGCATGGGGGTCCCAGCCCCTCCACGCCCCAGCCTGGTGTCCCTGCTGGTACCCGCACAGCACTACCCTTACAGCGACTGAGCCAGCAGTACTCGGCGACCATCTCCTTGTAGGCAGGGAACCGGCCGGTCTCCTAGGCACAGGGGGAGAGGACATGGGGGTCAGTGCACGCCGGCTGCCCTGGGCGAACCTGATCCGGTGCCAGCCATGAATAATGCATCCCCCCCCTCCCACCTGCCTGAAACTCAACCAGCTGGCGGCCGCACCAGCCCCATGGGCACCAGGCTGAGCTGGGGCAGCGCCAGCATGAGGATCCACTGACCCCCCCTGCCTCGCCCTATGGGGCCAGGCACACGTACCTTGATGGTTAGCATGATGTGGGTCTGCCCCTTGAGCACCTCCACTGCCTTGCTATGGCTTATGTCTTCGAACTTGACTCCGTTGGCTGCAAGGACTTGGTCTCCCACCCGAATGCCATTCTGCTCCGCCAGCCCCCCGGGGTCCACCCTAGGGAAGCAGAGGGGGGCAGGATGGGGCCGACCCCTTGCCGGAGCCCTGCTCCTGCCCCACACCTCTGCCTGGGTGGCCCCACGCCCCAGCACCCATGGCGGTGATGCCCACAGTCTTATGAGGGTGGGGGGCTCAGCCAGAGAGGGGGTGCTGAGCCCCTATGTGGGCACAGCAGGGATCGGCGTGCCGCGTCCCCCTCATGCCCCCCCAGGGCAGCCGTACTTGGAGACATAGATGCCAAGGCCGAACTCCCTGCCGCCACGGATGTTGAAGCCCAGGCAGTAGTCATCGGAGGTGGTGTAGAGGTGGACAATGCGCCGCAGCCCGTCCTCAGAGCCGCTCTCCGATGCTGTCGAGCCACTTTTCTCTACCACCAGGCGCCTGTTCACCACATCCACCCTGGAGCATGGGCACAGCGTTGGGAGGGACTCGGGGGTCTGGCTCTCATTCTCCAGTGGCATGGGGACATTGGTGTCACCCAGTGGACAAGAGTGATGGGGATGACGAGGATGGGGCTTGCACCCACCCTGCCTGCTCCAGACCTTCCTATCCCATCCTGTGCCCTACCTTGGACTCTCCCCACCTTCGCTGGAGACCTCCGATGCCCCCCCACCCTGGGGGTCCCCCAGCATCCCCCACCAAGCCTTCCCACCCTGTCCTCCATGGAGCTGGGCTTTGGGATGCTGGCATGGGGGACACCCTGCTCACCATGCTGTCTTCTCCTTGGAGAACTTGATGCCTGGCACACGGCCCATCCGCCGGACCACCATGCGGAGGCGGTTGTTGCCAGTGAGGACCTTGACGGCGCTGCTCATGGTGATGTTCTCCAGGCTTACGCTGTTCACCTCCGTGATCTTGTCACCAACACACAGCCCGGCCTGCTCTGCAAGGGGCACGCAGCTCGTCTGGGCACCTGACCTGGCACCGATGCCCTTGTTTGACGTCCCCTCCCTAAATGCATCCCAAACCTGATCCGAACCCCATGGGAACGGAGGTTGGGATGCCCAGCAATTGCACCAAGGCTGTGGCAGGCATGGGGGGCTTGTCACCTCACTGTGGCTTGGGGATGGAGCTCAGAGCCATCAGCATGGGGCTGCCCACTCCTGTCCCCCGCCCTTCTCTGTAGGAAGCCTGAAAACTCCATGGCCAGAGGCGGCAGGGAGCAAATGGTGGCTTGCCACAATGAAGGGTGGCATCGCCGCTGTGGCACCGTGTCACCGGGATCTCCCCGAGAGGGTCTTGCTGGCATGCCAGGCCCCCCACCAGCATCTCTCACCCTGTCCCGCGTGGGGGGCTTGTCACCTCACTGTGGCTTGGGGATGGAGCTCAGAGCCATCAGCATGGGGCTGCCCACTCCTGTCCCCCGCCCTTCTCTGTAGGAAGCCTGAAAACTCCATGGCCAGAGGCGGCAGGGAGCAAATGGTGGCTTGCCACAATGAAGGGTGGCATCGCCGCTGTGGCACCGTGTCACCGGGATCTCCCCGAGAGGGTCTTGCTGGCATGTGCCAGTCCCCACCAGCATCTCTCACCCTGTCCCACTTACCGGCAGCGCTGCCCTCCTCCACCTTGCTGACGAAGATGCCCAGCCCGTGCTCAGAGCCACCGCGGACACTGAAGCCCAGCTTGCCGTCCACGCTCTTCTCCACCGTGATGGCGTTGATGACGTTGCTCTCGTTGCTGCTGGCTGTGGGGACAGAGGACGGGATGTGTCACCTGGGCTGGATGCAAGCAATGGCGGGGGGTGTCTCTCTTGCTGGGGATGTTTCCAGTCCCAGGACAACTCCCCCTGCCCCCAGACCCAGGGAACTCAGGCGTCCACCCCCCGCCCTGGGCAGGGGGCTGGGAGGGCACCCCACTCACCTTCGATGGGGGTGTTGATGAGGATGACGCGGCCCATGGGGGAGGCGGCGCGGCTGCCCCGGGTGGCCCCATTGAGCAGGCGGCTCTGCTTGCTGAGGAGGCAGCGGGGAGCCAGGCTGGCCTCGCTGCTGGAGCTCCGCGACCGACTGCTGCCCGCCGTCATCCCCGACAGCGCCGCATCCCAGACCTGGGCCATGGTGGCACTGGGCACCCCGGCGTCCCGGCGTCCGGCTCGGGGCTGGCCGCGTCCTCACGGGGCCAGGGCTGCCCACCGGCCAGGGGGGGACATGGCATAGTCCAGCACCACATGCCCGGGCTCGGGCACCGCTCCCTCTTAGCAGCGCGATGCTGGGGACGGCTGGTGTGGGTGCTCGGCGCTAGCAGGACGTGTCCCAGGCACAGCGGCACAGCCTGAGGGGACAAGGAGCTTCGTGACCCCCTCTCCAGCCCTGTCCCCTCCCGTCCTATAGTGACCTTGGGGGCCAACCTGCTGCAGGGCTCTGGGTACCACCATGGGGGGCGGTGGACACAGGCTGCCCTGGGACAAGGATGCCAGGGTGCAAAGGGGCTTTGCCTGGCGGCGTAAATCCGGAACTGGGGGTGCAAAGGGGCTTTAGTTGGTAGCGTAAATCCGGAAAGGCTCCGGAGAGGGCATGTGGGGACGTAAGCTGTACGCCGGAGAGCAGGACCTGATCCCCCCTGGCCCCTCCCTGGGGGGACTTTGCAGCAGGAGGGGGGAGAGCCCCTCCGGATTTAAA